AGCGGGGCCGCGCGGCCTCCTCTGCAGACCTTCCTCCTCTCCCGCCTGCCTGGCTCCCTGGGGCTGTGCTGCTTGAATGAGTGTTTCCCCCAGCTCAGCCACATGCCCAACACCCACCCAACTCTTGGAGTTGTTGTGGCCATCACCAAAATTCACGTGGCACCTTGTAGTGGGGCTGAGCCCTCACCTCCACCGCAGCGCCGGGGCTGCAGTGCTACCCTCACTGGGCATTTATCTGTCCTGCCCAATGCTGCACCTGTGACAGCGTGGGAGCCCAAAGCCACCCTTGGGACCCCGTACTGGCACATCCCTCGTCTCCTGTAACGCTGCTGCTAGCACAGCACAGTCAGTGTCACAACCATCCTTGCGTGTCAGGCACCGCCCCTGCGGAGGGTGCTGGCTCCCGTCCTCCCGCATGGCAGGGAGCTCCTCCTGGCCAGCAGTGCCTTCTGCTCCCTCCTGGGGCTCAGTCTCCTCCCCAGCCCCATCTCAGGTGGTGCAGGGTCCCTGCCCCAGGCTCGGGCAGAAAGGAGGGGAAGGGGGCACTGAGTAACCCCACGGATGGGGCTCGTGCCAGGAACCCCTCTCCTGTTCAAGAGGGGGTTCCCCTCTACTGCAGAGGGGAAGGAGGGCGCTCAGGGGGGATGGGAAGAAGAGAAGGGAGATGGGAGAAGGGGCAAGGAGAGAGTAGAGGCTCCAGGCTGACTCAAATCCATCCCCAGGAAGCCGGGCCCCCGCCAGCTTTTGTGTTTTCCTCTTTTATTGTAAAACGCGGCCAACACTTGCAGGGCCCCAGGCACCAAAGCAGGAGCCCGGGTCCTGGGCGGCTCTTGGGCCCTCCCAGGTGGTGGTGAAGCAGCCAACGGACACGGGGGGGCTCCAGGCAGCCCACAGAGCAATGGCACTTGTGCAGCAAGAGCAGCTCCGGTGCGGGGTGGCACGGGGCCGAGTGGCACGATGAGGAGATGGGGCTGGAGCTCCTTCAGAAGAGGCGCTTCTCATACCTGTGAGGACAGGGGGGCCTTGAGGGGGCAGCAAACCGCACCACCCTTCCACTGACACCTCTGTGCCGAGGAAGGGGCCACGGCACAGCCAGGAACAGCTCCTGGCCACAGTGGGGCTGACAGCAGGGCAGGCAACAGCCCAACTGCGCCGAGCGGCTTCGCACACCCAGCCCACGAGGACGGCGGCAGCGGCAGGAGCACTTACGAGTGGAGGCCGTGGACCCCTCCTTCCACCTGCGCAGACGTCGTCCTCTTCTCAAACTTCAACTCTCCCGAGTACATCATGGCTCTGGGGAGGGAGGACGCGCGGTCAGGGGCCAGCAGGAGCCAAGGGAGCAGAGCGCCGGGCCGGGCAGTGGCCCGTTCCCCTGGCCAAGGCAGCGTGAGCTCTGCTGCGCAAGTACGAGCCGGGCAGAGCCCAGCGCTTCTGACCCAGCCCCGCAGAACGTGCCACGAGGGACCCTATTCCTGCAGCCCTGGGGCTGCCACAGCCCTGGCACAGCAACCACCGGAGATGGAGGAGAGGGCTACAGCGCGGCCAGGCAATGGGGACACCGTGGCAGCGCTGTGGCCTAACCCAAAGCACAAGCAGGAAGAAGCA